AAAAGCATTCAATTCAAAAAACTCAAAAAACTGAGTAATTCAGAAATCGAAAAATCGAAAATTCGGAATATCGAAAACTCAGGAAATCGAAAAATCAAAAATCGAAAACGCGAAATATCGAAAAATTGGAAAGTTAGAAAATTGAAATCGAGAAATGGAAATATTGACAAATCTGAAACTTTTAGTCTAAAAATTGAAAAATCGGAAAACTGAGATAGAAATTTGCAGCATTTGGGAAAACGAGAAGCTGAAAAGTCTAAAATTGGAGAAGTCGAGAAATCAAAAAATCTAACAGTTAAAACCAGAAAACTGGAAAATTGAAAGGTCAAAAAGTCGAAAAATCAAATAGCATTATTAATTAAAAAATCGAAAAACTAAAAATTCAGAATTCGAGAATCGCGAAATTGAAAAATCAATAAGTCGAAAAACTGAAAAACCAAAAAATCTAAAAATCAAAAATCGAAAATTCGAAAGGTGGAAAAATTGAAAAATCAGAAACGTGAAGGTGGGAAAGTAGAAAAATCGAATACTATTAAATTTAAAAAAAAAACGGAAAATTGATATGTCGAAAAACTATAAACTTGAAAAATAGAGAAATCGAAATATCGAAAAATTGCAATCGGAAAATTGTAAATGCCGAAATCGAAAAATCAAAAAATTACCAATTTTAAAAGTAAATAAGTTGAAAAATTGGAAACCTAAAAAATCGAAAAATCAAGAAAACCAAAAACCAAAAAGTGGAAAGGTGGAAACGTTGAAAAACATTAAATTTAAAAAACTCAAAAAACTGGGCAATTGAGAAATCGAAAAATCGAAAACTCGAAAAATCGAAAACGCGAAATATCGAAAAATTGGAAAGTTATTGCACTCAAAAATTGACAATCGAGGGATGGAAATATTGACAAATCTGAAATTTTTAGTATGAAAATTGAAAAATCGGAAAACCGAGAGATAGAAAAATCAAGCATTTGGGAAAACGAGGAGCCGAAAAGTCTAAAATTGGAGAAGTCGAGAAATCAAAAAATCTAACAGTTAAAATGGAAAAATTGTAAAGTTGAAAGGTCAAAAAGTCGAAAAATCAATAGCATTATTATCAAAAAGTCGAAAAACTGAAAAACCAAAAAATTTAAAAATCAAAAATCGAAAAGTCGAAAGGTGGAAAAAATGAAAAATAGAGAAGTAATGAATGTAAAAAATCGAAGTATCGAGTAAAAAAAAAATTAAATCGAAAAATTGCGAAATTATGAAATTGAAAAATCAAAAACTTGAAAAATTGGAAATCGAAATTTTTAAATATTAAAAATCAAAAAATTGAATAGTAATTGAAAAATGAGGAATTAAAAAAAACGAAAAATTATAAAATTGAAAATTGATAAATAGATTAATAAGAACCGAAAATTATAAAAATGTTAAACCGAAAAATCAAAAAATGTAAAACGGAAAAATTGTAAAATAATTACACCGAAAAACTAAACACTTGAAAAATTAAAACTGAAATTTTGAACAATTAAAAAATAAAAAATTGAAAATTTTCAAAAGTACAAAATTGAAAAATCGAGAATTTGGAACATCTGATAATTGAAAATTCGACAACTAAAAAATTGATTCATTAAAAACTGGGCCATTGAGAGATCGAAAACGTCCAAAAATATAAAACCAAAAAATCAGAAATTTGAAAAATTACAAACTGAAAAATCATATGATTTTACCTGAACAATTGAAAAATAAGATAATTTTTGTATTTTGCAATTAAAATTGAAAATTTACAAAATTAAAAAATCGAAATATTCTAAAATTATGAAATCGAAAAATCAAAAACTGAGACCATTGGAAATCGAAACTTTGAAATACTAAAAATAAAAGAATTAGAAAATTGGGTAACTAAAAAACCAAAAATTGAAAAATCGGATATTTTCATAAACCAAAAATTTTAAAATATTTAAGTGAAAAACCAAAAAATTTGGAAAGTTAAAATTGAGATATTCAACAATTAAAAATCATGAAATTGGATAATTGTAAAATTGAAAAATTAATTAAACTGAAAATCGAACAATTGAAAAATGAAAAACCGAAAAATTGCAAAATCAAAGTTTTCCATAACCAAAAAATTGAAAAATCTGCTAATTAAAAAATCAAAAATTGAAAAACTATTCATTAAAAACTGGACACTAAAAAATCGAAAAATTGTAAAAATATAAAACTGAAAAATCAAAATTGCAAATCAAAATTTTGAAATAATAAAAATCAAAAAATTAGAAAATCGAAACAATGAAATACGAATTATTGAAATTCAAAAATTAAAAAAATGGAGACCTTTAAAAACGAAAAATTGTTAAAATAATGAAAGTAAAAAACCAAAAACTTGAAAAACTCAAGTTCAAATTGTGAACAATTAAAAAAAAATTGAAAAAATGCAAAATAAGATGAATGCAAAATCCAATAACTGTAAATCCAAAATTTATTAAAGAGTAAAAATAGAAAACTACATAATTATTAAACTGAAAAACAAAAAATCGAACTATTCCAAAAGCGAAAAATTCCAAAATTATAAGTTTTAAAACCCCAAAAAATTGAAAAATTGGGAAATTGAAAAATTTGATAATTGAAAATTGAAAAACTGCTTCATTAATAACTTACAATTACAAAATTACAAAGTCAAAAATCGTATAACTTTAACACTGAAAAATTGAAAAAAACCAGATTGTAATTTTTCTGTTTTACAATTAAAATAAAAAAAAAAAAAACAAAATTTGTGATATAAAATTGAGAACATGAAAAATAAAAAATCGAAAAAATGAAAAATAAAAATCACGAAAAAAAGAAAAATGAAAAATTAGGAAAAAACTGAAAATCAAAAAATTGAAGAAACGAAAAATTGAACAATCGAAATGTCGAAATTGGGGAAAAGTGAAAAAACTCAAAAATCCCGAAACTGCAATATCGAAAAATTGAGAAATCGAAAAATCAAAAATTGAGAACTCTAAATATCAAAAAATTGAAAAATCAATGATCGAAAAATCGAAAAGTCAGCAAATTAAAAACTCCTAATTCGAAAAACCGAAACAACAAAAAATTGATAAATCGAAAAATCACACTCGGAAAATTGAAAATCCATAAGTGGAAATATTGAGAAAACAGAAACCTTAAGTGTAAAAATTGAAAAATCAGAAACATGAAAGGTAGGAAAGTCGAAAAATCGAATAGTATTAAATTTTAAAATATCGGAAAATTGATAAGTCGCAGTCGGAAAATCGTAAATGCCGAAAACGAAAAATCGAAAAATTACAAATTTTAAAAGAAAATAAATTGAAAAATTAAAAACCTAAAAAATCGAAAAATCAAGAAAATAAAAAAATTGAAAAATCAAAAAGTGGAAAGGTGGAAACGTTGAAAAGCATTCAATTCAAAAAACTCAAAAAACTGAGTAATTCAGAAATCGAAAAATCGAAAATTCGGAATATCGAAAACTCAGGAAATCGAAAAATCAAAAATCGAAAACGCGAAATATCGAAAAATTGGAAAGTTAGAAAATTGAAATCGAGAAATGGAAATATTGACAAATCTGAAACTTTTAGTCTAAAAATTGAAAAATCGGAAAACTGAGATAGAAATTTGCAGCATTTGGGAAAACGAGAAGCTGAAAAGTCTAAAATTGGAGAAGTCGAGAAATCAAAAAATCTAACAGTTAAAACCGGAAAACTGGAAAATTGAAAGGTCAAAAAGTCGAAAAATCAAATAGCATTATTATTTAAAAAATCGAAAAACTAAAAATTCAGAATTCGAGAATCGCGAAATTGAAAAATCAATAAGTCGAAAAACTGAAAAACCAAAAAATCTAAAAATCAAAAATCGAAAATTCGAATGGTGGAAAAATTGAAAAATCAGAAACATGAAGGTGGGAAAGTAGAAAAATCGAATACTATTAAATTTAAAAAAAAAACGGAAAATTGATATGTTGAAAAACTATAAACTTGAAAAATAGAGAAATCGAAAAATCGAGAAATTGCAATCGGAAAATTGTAAAAGCCGAAATCGAAAAATCAAAAAATTACCAATTTTAAAAGTAAATAAGTTGAAAAATTGGAAACCTAAAAAATCGAAAAATCAAGAAAACCAAAAAATCAAAAAGTGGAAAGGTGGAAACGTTGAAAAGCATTAAATTTAAAAAACTCAAAAAACTGGGCAATTGAGAAATCAAAAAATCGAAAACTCGAAAAATCGAAAACTCGGAATATCGAAAAATCGGGAAATCGAAAAATCAAAAATCGAAAACGCGAAATATCGAAAAATTGGAAAGTTAGAAAATTGCACTCAAAAATTGACAATCGGGAGATGGAAATATTGGCAAAGCTGAAATTTTTAGTCTAAAAATTGAAAAATCGGAAAACCGAAAGATAGAAAAATCGAGCATTTGGGAAAACGAGGCGCCGAAAAGTCTAAAATTGGAGAAGTCGAGAAATCAAAAAATCTAACAGTTAAAATCGAAAAATTGGAAAGTTGAAAGGTCAAAAAGTCGAAAAACTGAAAAACCAAAAAATTTAAAAATCAAAAATCGAAAGGTCGAAAGGTGGAAAAATCGAAAAATAGAGAAGTAATGAATGAAAAAAATCGAAATATCGAGTAATCGATAAACCGAAAAGTCAAAAAACTGAAAAATTAAGAACTCGAAACCAAAAATCAAAAAATGGGGAATTTACTTTAAGGGAATCAGAAGGGGGAATCGAAGGAAACAGATTAGAAACGGCAAAAAGATGAGGAATGAACCTGGAGAGATGATTATAGGTATCAATTTTTCTAGTTCAAAATTATTTTTGAGGCATATTTGTTATCAAATAGCGGATCTTGAACTTCTAGATTTAAATTATAAAATATTGATACCCAGTTTCGAGTTTTTTTTTTACAAAAATCTATATACCTAGGGTATCAAAATATTCTAGGTATCATGAAACGTCGAGAAAACAAAAAAGTAGTGAGTCGCTCGACAAGTAAAAAATACTTACTCGTAATAGACTCTCGCCCCCGGAATCGCGTCATGATACAACCCCCTATAGGTGGTCGCAAACTCGTACAGCTCCACCGCATGCTTCAGCAACTCCTCCGAGTAGGTCTTGTTCCTCTCCCGAAACAAAAGACTGGCGGCCGACAACGCCGCCGACGCCTCCCCCGCCAACTCCGACCCCGGGTGGTCCACATCTATCTTATAAGCCGGTCGCGTCATATTCATCTCCTCGGGCCGCCCCCAGAACGTATGATCCAACGAAAAATCGCCCACTTGTCCGTAGAACTCGAACGGCGCCACGTGACACTTGACGAAGTAGTCAGTAGCCCACTTGATGGCGTCCAGCCCGTACTCGTACTGACCTGGACAAAACTTCTGGTAGCATATAATAGTCATTTGCGACACCAGTTTTGTGTATGGTTTTCTACGACCACAGCAGTTTTACCTGTTTCGTTGTACACGTCCTTGAAGGAGAGCATCCCCCAGGCTAGGATGGTGGTGGTGAAGGCCATGGTGAAGCTGAACTTGACGAAGTCGCTGGCGTCGTAGTAGCCCCCGCTGAGGTCCTCCCCGTGGAGGCCCTTGTCGCTGAGGGCCGAGTCCCTTCGCCATGGTATCCTGGTGGTCTCTGGGAGGTGGCCGGAGCGTTGCGCTTCGTAGAAGAGGAGGGAGAGCTTGAGGGCGGTGGCGTAGTCGGGGGTGGCGGATTTGAGGGAGTGGGGGGTGGCTTGGCAGGCGGTGAGGAAGAGTAGTCCGAGAGCGTAGACAGGCATCTGGAAAAATGTCGAGACGTTGATTTTCGATTTATTTTCGGGTCACGTATTGGTGGAAATTTGCGAATATTACGTAATGAGGTGTGACTATAGGTAAATACACTCTGAAGGAGTTTGGTTGATCGTAGTTGTGCGACTGGTGGAAATATAGTACTTTTAAGGTGATGATTTTAATTCGTTGGATGTGGGGACTGTTTTCTCAGAAATTCGACGAAATTACTAAAATTATACACTGTAGTTTGAACAGTTGGTTATCGACGCAGAATTATTCGAAATGTGTTTGCAGGTGCAATTCGAGCGAAAACGAATAACACATATCTGGAAAAATTAAATAAATATTGAAATTTCGAACTACGTATAAATAAATATAAGCGTACTACGAAAACAGGATTCAGGCGGCCTTTGCTTGACCGCTACTTATGTAATATTAATGTATGTATTCATTAAAGCATTTAAACGCTAATTTTTAAAACACTCTGGTTCATTAAAATCTTTAGGAACTACTTATTTGTGTGTTAATGACAAAATTATGTACAATTAATGACAACCAGTTGACAAATAAAAAATTATGTAAAAGTGGTCCAAAATACAACGTGCCATTACTAGAACAGAATTTAAAAGATTTGAAGACACTTGAAGACCGCAAGTTAATATATTCTTGAAAGTTTTTTATTAACACAGTGATAAATGTCATGGATTTGTTTAATTCAGGGCACGTCTTGTGGTATATGCTGATTTAGTATGAAACATTCATTGATGCTGAAAATTAGGGTAACGTACGAAGGAGATTCTTGGATAGAGTGGAGGCCAAATATACAGGTGTTCGGAATTGGGCACACCGGAAGGTTACTACACTGAAGACCTAATTATAAAAAATTGGTCGAAGGTTATTTCGACAGAACTTCCCTTGCCTATGAAATACGCTCAACAAATCCTGCTTCATTGCAAAATTTTTCGAAATTTTAAAATTTTCCATTTAAAATTTCTCGAGTTGTCAGTTTTTCATTTTTCAACTTCTCGATTCTTTAATTTTTTATTTTTTCAAATTTTTCCTTTCGGTTTATTATTTTTTTTATTTTTACAATTTTTCGATTTTTCGGTGTTCTAATTTTATAATTTTATATTTTTTCAACTTCAGTTTTTTGAATTTTTCGTTTCTTCAATTTTCCGATTTTGAAGTTTTTCAATATTTATTTTTTTTTATTTCTTCAGTTTTATGATATATGCAACAATTTTTCGATTTGCAATTTTTAGATTTTTTAATTTTTCGTTTTTTCAGTTTTACATTTTTCAGTTTCATAATTTTTCAATATTTGGTTGTATGATTTGCAATTTTTCTAGTTATCGTTTTATATATGTTATAATAATAACCATTTTTAAAACATTTCGTTTTTTCAATTTTATGATTTTACAATTCTTCCCTTTTTCAATTACTGGATTTTAAAACTTTTTCATTTATTCGACTTTTCAATTTTTCGATTCTCCAATTTTTCATGTTTTTAGATTTTCGATATGCAATTTTTCGTTTCGGTTTTATAATTTTTGTTTTTCAATTCAAATTTTTCCAGTTTTTCGATTTGCAATTTTTCATTTCAATCTTTTATTTTTATTTTTTCAATTTTACGGTTTTTCAATGTCTTGATTTTATATTTTTTCTTTTCTTCAATGCAAAATTTTCATTTTTGGAATTTTCATTTTTACGATATTAGAATTTTTCCATTTTTCAATTATTGGATTTTAAAGCTTTTTAATTTATTTGATTTTTCAGTTTCTCGATATTTAATTTTTCACTTTTTCGATCTTTTGCTTCATAATTTTGACGATTCTATAATTTTTCGGTTTTACAATTTTGGGTTTTCCAATTTTTCGGTTCGTTTTGTTTTTTAAATCTCTCGATTTTTATTTTTTCAGTGTTTCAATTTTTGTTTTTTAGTTATTTAATTTTCCAATTTTTTCCGAATTTCCTGTTTTTCTAGTTTTAATTTTTCAATTTTTCATCTTGTCGACATTCGAAATATTGAAAATGAAGGAACTCGAAAAATCGTATAACTGGAGATCCAGAAATAGCAAAATTTAAAAATTTATAAATTGAAAAACCGAGCAACTGAAAAATCAAAGGCTAAAACTTTGAAAAACTGAATAAACGAAAAATTATAAAATCTAGAGAAACATTGAAAGAGGAAATGAAAAAAACAAAAATTGTAATATAAAATTGAGAAAACGAAGAATAAAAACTCGCAAAAGTGAAAAATAGAAATAAAAACTTGAAAAATTGAGGAAACGAAAAATTAAAAAGTCAAAAACTCAAAAATCCCGAAACTGAAATATCAAAAAATCGGTATATCGAAAAATCGAGAAACCCAAAAATCAAAAATCGAGAGAGTTTAGAAGAGCCAAAAAATTTAAAAATCCGAAATCGAAAAACCGAAACATCGAAAAATCGCACTCGGAAAATTGAAAATCGGGAAATCGAAATATTGAGAAACCGGAAATCTTAAGTCGAAAAATTGACAAAGTGGAAGATCAAAAAATCGAGAAATCAAAATATCGAAAATTTCGATTTTTAAAAAATCGAAAAATTTGAAAAACGAAAAATCAAAAAGTTGAAAGGTGGAAAACTCGAAAAATCGAAAAGTATTAAATTTAAATATTGAAAAATTTAAAAAGTCGAAAAACTGAAAACTTGGAAAATCGAAAACTAAAATTAAAAAAATCGGAATATTGGAAAAACCCAAAACTGAAATATCGAAAAATTGAGAAATAGATTATTATCGAAGAACAGGAAAGTCAAAAATTAAAAAATCCTAAATCGAAAAATCGAAACACCGAAAAATTGATAAATCAGTAAATCGCACTCGCAAAATTGCAAATCCAGAAATGGAAAAATTGAGAAATCTGAAATCGAAAAATCAAAAAAGGTTGAAATCGAAAAGCCGAAAAGTCCAAAATTGGGGAAATTAAAAAATCGAAAAAGCGACAAATGGAAAAATTCCAAAATTAAAAAATCGAAAAATCGAATAATCCAAAGCTCAAAAAGTCGAAAAACCGAAAAATTGGGAATTCGAGAATTGGGAAAGGGAAAAATCGATAAATCGGAAAATGAAGAAGACGAAAAATAGAAAAATCGAAAAACCGAAAAATCAAAAAATCTAATAGTGAAAAGTGGAAAAATTGAAAAATCAAACGTAATAAATTAAAAAAATCCAAATATCGGGTAATCGAAAAAAATAGAAGAATCAAAAAACTCAAAAATTTAGAAACCAAAAAATCGTGAAATCGCAAAGTCAAAAAATGGGGAATTCGAAGAATCGAGAAATCGCAGTCGAAAAATTGAAATTCCCGAAAACGAAAAATCGAAAAATTTTAAATTTGAAAAATCGATAAATTGAAAAATCGAAAACCTGAAAAATCGAAAAATAGAGAACTCGAGAAATCGAATAGTCGATGAATCGCGAAGACGAAAATTTGACAAATCGAAAAATCGACTAATCGAGAAACCGAAAAAGGAAAAATCAAGAACTCGAAACATCCAAAAATTGAAAACTCGATTATAGGAAAATGGAAAAATGATAATCGAGAATTTAAAAAATTGAGAAATCTGAAATTTTAAGTCGAAAAACTGAGAAATCGAAAAAGCGGAAGCTCGAAAAATCGAGAAATTGGGAAATCGAATAGCCGAAAAGTCTAAAATTGGAGAAATCGGGAAATCAAAAAATCGAAAAATCGAAAAGTCGATTGGTCCAAAAGTCGAAAAATCGAATAGTATTACATTTAAAAAACTGACAAACTGAAAAGTTGAAAAACTGGAAAATTGAGAAATCGTGAAATCTGAAAATCGAAATGTCGAAAAAAGGCGAAATAGAAAAATTGAAAATCCTGAAAACGAAAAATCGAAAAATTCAAATTTTAAAAGTCGATAAATTGAAAAACTGAAAACTTGAAAAATCGAAAAGTCGAAAATTGGGGAAACCGAAAAATCAAAAAATTAAAAAATCGAAAATTATCAAATTTAAAACGAAAAATTGAAAAGTCAAAAAGCTGAAATATTGAGAAATCAAAAAATCGGAAAATTGTACTCGGAAAAATGAAAATCGAGAAATGGAGAAATTGAAAAATCTGAAATTTTAAGCCGAAAAATTAAAAAATCGAAAAAGTGGAAGATTGAAAAATCGAATAGCCGAAATATCTTAGATTGGAGAAATCGAGAAATCAAAAAATCGAAAAATTAAAATGTGGAAAATTTTAAAAATCGAAAAATCGAATAATATTAAATTCTAAAAATTGAAAAATTGAAAAGTCGAAAATCTGTAAAATTGAGAAATCGAGAAATCGGGAAATCGAAATGTCGAAAAAAAGAGAAATCGAAAAATTAAAATGGCATTCGGAAAATTGAAAATCCCAGAAACGAAATATCGAAAAATTCTAATTTTAAAAGTCGATAAATTGAAAAACTAAAAACTTAAAAAATCGAGAAGTCGAGAAGTTGAAAGGTGGAAAAATCGAAAAATCGAAATTTATTAAATTTAAAACCAAAAATTAGAAAGTCAAAAAAACTGACATATTGAGAAATCGAAAAATCGAAAACTCGGCATATCGAAAAATCGAGAAACCGAAAAATAAAAAATCGAAATTCAGAAATTTTAAGTCGACAAATTGAAAAATCGTAGAAGCAGGAGAACGAAAAATCGAGAATTTGAAAAAGTCTAAAATTTGAGAAGTCAAGGAATTAAAAAATCGAAAGGTCGAAGAGTTGAAAAGTCGAAAAATTTCAAAACCGAAAAATAGAAAATCTGAAATATCAAAAAGTCGAAAAATCGAATAGCATTATTATTTAAAAAATCGAAAATCTGAAAATCTAAAAATCAAACATTGAAAAGTCGAAAGGTGGAAAAATTAGAAAATCGAGAAGTATTAAATTAAAAAAAACGAAATATCGAGGAAGTAATCGAAAATTTGAAACGCGAAAAATTGAAAATCCCGAAAATCAAAAATTTAAAATTCTAAAATCGAAAAATCGAGAAATAAAGAACTGGCAATTGAAAAATCGTAAATGGAAAAGCCGAAACATTGAAAAATTTAAAGTTCGAAAGATCGCACTTGGCAAATTGAAAATCGAGAAATGGAAAAATTGACTAATCTGACTAAGATTTTTGTTATAAGAATTTTAACACTTTACATACACATTTTAATGACGTGTATAAGCAATTTAAGTGCAAAAAATATGAAAATAAATTATTATTATTATTTTAAATCGAAAATTTGAAAAATCGAAATATTGAAAAGTTGAATGGTCGAAAAGTCGAAAAATCAAATAGAGTGTTAAATTTAAAAATCGAAAAGTCGAAAGGTGACAAAATTGAAAAATCAAGACGTATTAAATTTAATAAATTGTAAAAATTTAAAATTTCAAAAATCGATGAACTGAAAAATCGAAAAATAAAAAATGAGAAACTGGAAAGTCAAAACTCTAAAATCCTTGAAATCCTTTTGATTTTTGATTTTTAAACTTTTAGATTTTTTAAAAAGTCAACTTTTCGATTTTTTTATTCTCCAATTTTCAGCCTTTGGGCTACTCGATTTACCAATTTGTCGATTTTTCGATCTTCCGCTTTTTAGATTTTTCAGTTTTTCGATTTAAGATTTCTGATTTCTTAATATTTCCATTTCTCGATTTTCAATCTTCCGAGTGCGATTTTGCGATTTATCAATTTTTTCGATTTAGGATTTTCATGTTTTTTGACTTTTCCATTTTTCGATAATCTTTCGATTTTATTTAAAAAATTGAAATTTTGAAAAATCGAAAAACTGAAAACTTGAGAAATCGAAATGTCGAAAATGGGGAATTAAAAAATCAAGAAATCAGTCGGAAAATTGTACATCCCGAAAACGAAAAATCAAAAATTCAAATTTTAAAAGTCGATAAAATGAAAAATCGAAAAATGAAAAATCAGAAAGTCGAAAAACAGAGAAATTGAGAAATCGAGTAATTGAGAAATCTAAATATCGAAAAATCGAGAAGTCGAAATCTAAAATTTAAAAAATCGGAAAATTGAAAAATCCCGAAACTGAAATATCGAAAAATTGGGAAATCGAAAAATCGAAAGGTCGGGATATCGAAATCTCGAGGAACCGAAAAATCAAAAATTGAGATCTCGAACTATCCAAAAATTAAAAAATCGATTATCGAAAGGCGGAAAAGTCAAAAATTGAAAAATCCTAAATTGTAAAATCGAAACATCAAAAAATTGATAAATCTAAAAATCACACTTGGAAAATTGAAAATAAAGAAATGGAAAAGAAGAGAAATCTGATATCGAAAAATTGAAAAATTGAAAAGCCCAAAAATTAAAGAATGGAAAAATCGAAAAATTGAAAAAAAAGTCGAAAAATTGAGAATTCGAGAATCGGGTAATCGAAAAATCGATAAGTCGAAAAACGGAGAAAAGAAAAGACAGAAAAATCTAAAAATCAAAAATCGAATAGCCGAAAGGTGAAAAATTGAGACGTAATAAATTTAAAAAATCGGGTAATCGAAAAATAGAAGAATCAAAAAACTCAAAAATTAAGAAATCAAAAAATCAAAAACTGGAGAATTCGAAAAACCGAGAAATTGCAGTCGAAAAATTAAAATTCCCCAGAATGAAAAAAATTAAAATTTTAAAAGTTTGAAACATCGAAAACCTGAAAAATCGAAAAATGGAGAACTCTAGGAATCGAATAGTCGATGAATCGCGAAGATGAAAATTGAGAAATCGAAAAATCGAATAAGCGACAAATCGAAAAATTGAAAAATCGAAAATTTTAAAAATCGAAAAGTTGATGGGTCCAAAAGTCGAAAAATAAGTAGTATTAAATTTAAAAAATTGAAAAATTAAAAAGTCGAAAAACTGGAAAATTGAGAAATCGAGAAATCGGAAAATCGAAATGTCGAAAAAAGGAGAAATCGAGAAATTGAAATGGCATTCAGAAAATTCAAAATCCCGGAAACGGAAAATCGAAAAATTCAAATTTTAAAAGTCGTTAAATTGAAAAACTGAAAACTTTAAAAATCGAAAAGTCGAAAATTGCGGATACTAAAAAATCAAAAAATCGGTAAGTTACAAGGTGGAAAAATCGAAACTTATTAAATCTAAAACGAAAAATTGAAAAGTCTAAAAACTGAAATATTAAGAAATCGAAAAATCGAAAACTCGGGATATCGAAAAGTAGAGAAACCGAAAAATCAAAAATCGAGAACTCGAAATATCGAAAAATTGGAGAGTCAGAAAACCGAAAAACTCTAAATCGAGAAACCGAAACATCGAAAAATTGTACTCGGAAAAATGAAAATCGAGAAATGGAAAAATTGAGGAATCTGAAATTTTAAGCCGAAAAATTAAAAAACCGAAAAAGTGGTAGGTTGAAAAATCGAGAAACAGGGAAATCGAATAGCCGAAATATCTTAAATTGGAGAAATCGAGAAATCAAAAATCGAAAAATTAAAATGTCGACAATTTTAAAAATCGAAAAATCGAATAGTATTAAATTCTAAAAATTGAAAAGTCGAAAATCTGGAAAATTGAGAAATCGAGAAATCGGGAAATCGAAATGTCGAAAAAAGGAGAAATCGAAAAATTGAAATGGCATTCGGAAAATTGAAAATCCCAGAAACGAAAAATCGAAAAATTCAAATTTTAAAAGTCGATAAATTGAAAAACTAAAAACTTAAAAAATCGAAAAGTCGAAAAGTTGAAAGGTGGAAAAATCGAAAAATCGAAAATTATTAAATTTAAAACGAAAAATTAGAAAGTCAAAAAACTGACATTGAGAAATCGAAAAATCGAAAACTCGGGATATCGAAAAATCGAGAAACCGAAAAACAAAAAATCGAAAAGTCAGAAATTTTAAGTCGACAGATTAAAAAATCATAAAAGCAGGAGATCGAAAAATCGAGAATTTGAAAAAGTCTAAAATTTGAGAAGTCAAGGAATTAAAAAATCGAAAGGTCGAAGAGTTGAAAAGTCGAAAGATGGAAAAATTAGAAAATCGAGACGTATTAAATTTAAAAAATCGAAATATCGAGGAAGTAATCGAAAATTTGAAAGGCGAAAAATTGAAAATCCCGAAAATCAAAAATTTAAAATATTAAAATCGATAAATTGAAAAATCGAAAACCCAAAATCGAAAAATCGAGAAATAAAGAACTGGGAATTGAGAAATCGTAAATGGAAAAGCCGAAACAGTGAAAAATTTAAAGTTCGAAAGATCGCACTTGGAAAGTTGAAAATCAAGAAATGGAAAAATTTACTAATCTGACTAAGATTTTTGTTATAAGAATTTTAACACTTTATGTACACATTTTAATGACGTGTATAAGCAATTTCATTGCAAAAAATACGAAAATAAATTATTATTATTATCTTAAGTCGAAAATTTGAAAAATCGAAATATTGAAAAGTTGAATGGTCGAAAAGTCGAAAAATCAAATAGAGTATTAAATTTAAAAAATTAAAAAATCGAAAAGTCGAAAAAGGGAAAAACCAGGGAATCGAATGACCAATAAATAAATAAATAAATAATAGTGATAATAAAATAAAGAAATAATATATAATGGAAAATATTGAAAATTCGAAAAGTAGGAAAATCTAACAATCGAAAAGTATTAAATTGACAAAATCGAAAAATCGAAAAAAAAAAATCGAGAAATCGACAAAAGAAGCATAAAATTCGAAGAAATTTTGTGCTTATAGTAGGTATACGCATATATAGTGACAAATATTTGTAGATTACCCATATTAGGCCACTGTCTATATTGCGAAAAACACTTCTTTACATTTGCGAGTGCACACATTATTTATTACTGGAAATTTTTAGTAAATTTTTCCTACAAGTGGGTTTTACCCGTTGGAAAAAAATATTAATCATAGACTACCAAACGAAGAGTGAAATTGAGGAAACGTTATACAGGAACAAAACAAATTTAAATGTGTTTATCACAAGAGATCTTCAAAAGCTCATTAATTCCAGTAAAGGTTAAAAACAATGACCTCAAACAACCTGACAATGCGTTAAACGAAAGTAGAACTCTTAAAACCGAATTAAAACATATTGTTGTCCTAGTAACATGAAAATTCATGCAAGGCGGCAAAGTTCACGTACCTATTTCCACCATAGTTTTATATTTAAATAAATACAAGACCAGATTTAGCCAGTTTTTTGCTTGCATGGAACGGTTCTTTGACTGCCCGTTTAGGTGCTAATTAGTTCCTTATTGCCGAGCACTTACGGACGATAAATATATTTAGAACTGATTCATCCGAAAGCCTGTCTCGTTCCACTTTCCCGCCCCACATTCCCCCGCCCCAACCCTCCAGCCCCCAATTAATCGAATTCTCACCTCCAGCAACCCGTGCGAATTATTTCTCGTCCTCAACCGGATGCCAGAAACGCGTCTTGAATAAAAACCCAATAAATTACAAGATCGACATTCGCATAACAATAATTATCGCGCTCTCAGACGAGACTGGGATGAGATGGAATTACATAAAACGCCGATATTGAATTTCAAATCGTTTCCAACTAAACGTTACGCAATTGGAAAACGACAGAATTTTGACGAACGTTGCACCTGTCGACGGATAACTTAGCGATTTTAGGGATTTTCCTAATTGCGGGTGACGCAGGTGTTGTCACGTTGCGTCGTACCAACGTGGTGCCCATGGCAGGCGTGGGAGCGGTTATCAGCGATTTGGTGGTACTCACTTTGGTCGACTGATAACGGGGATCTAGTGGGTCGGCGATGGCATCTTGGTGCTCCTGGCACGAATTCACTGGCACTGAACAATGCGATTTTCACTTTTACGAAACGGTGGATGTCTTGCGGTGTGGTCAAGTACTGAATGACGATCATTTCAATGCCTTTCACTTTTTAAACGGAGGTTTATATGGAAATATAGTGTGACGGCTTTTGTGGTTCTGGGATTGGCGCTATGGGGCTTGATGGAACGAGAGTCCGCTTTTTTTCGTGGTGGACGAAACGGATCGGATTTGGTGATTCAGGATGGGTGGGATTTCGGATTGGGTTTTTGAACGGTTTTTTGTGGGTCCGTTTTGTAATTTTGTCCGGGATAGAAGGAGTTGTCTTGAGAGTGGTTTTCATTCTTGATAATTGCAACAGGCGCATTCCATTGGAAATCGATGAGTTTTGTAAGAACTTTGGAATTAAACTGTTCCAAGAGGTACCTATATGGTGTATGTGCCGTTATGGTTTAATTGCTAATTAATTTGCAGTAAAATATACAAGTACGTTACAACAAAGAAATCAAACTTTCAATTCAATATCATAGGTATAACCAACTTTTTTTTGATATCACAGTTTTTCGATATTACAATTTTTCATTTTTAGATTTTCAATTTCTCAACTTTTAATTTTTCGATTTTGAATTTTAATTTTCATTTTCTAGATTTTATATCACAATTTTTCGTTTTTTCATATTCTTTATTTTTGGATTTTTTAAATTTTCGTTTATTCAATTTTTGAAATTTTTAGTCTTAGAATTTTCAGCTCCTCGGTTTTCCGATATTTAAATTTTTCAATTTTGCAATTTTTGGATCTCCAGTTGTATGATTTCAGTTTTACAAATTTGCAAATTTTTCAATTTTTTGATTCGAAGAGTTGAAAAATCGAAAAACAAAAAAAAACAAAAAATTGGAAAATCGAAAAATTATGGAATCGTCAATTTTGTAAAGTTGAGCAACTGAAAGATGGAAACATTGAAAATATAAAAATTTAAAAATAAATGAAAAAAAATCTAGTAATTGAAAAATAGAATAATTCTAAAACCGTAAAATTGAAAAAGTGAAACATTTTAAAAGTTATAATTATTATTAACCAGTTAAAATGAAAACTAGAAAAACTGCAAATCAAAAATTGAAGAAACGAAAAATTGAAAAATCGAAAAACTGAAATTTATCGCTTTTTCAGTTGAACATTTTCACACAAAAAAGAAATTATGAAACAAGAATATTGAAAAATTAAAATAAAAAAAATAGAGAAAAAAATTGAAAAATCGAAAAAACGAACAATTAAGAAATCGAAGAATTGAAAAATCTAGAAATCGACAAATATCTTGAAAAATTTTAAATTAAATCGAGAGATCTAAAAATCGAAACATCGGAAAATCGAGAAACAAAAAAATCGATAAAATTGAAAAATCGAAAGATCGGGAAACTCAAAATTCGCAAAACCAGAAAAATGGAAATCATAAAGCCAAAACACCGAAAACTTAAAAAATCCAGCCATTCCAAAGTTGAAAAATCGAGAAGTCGAAAGATCAAAACAATCAAATTTAAAAAATCGAAAAATCGGAAAGTGTAAAAGTCTGAAAATCGAAACGTCAAAATTTCGCAAAACTGAAAAATCGAAAAATAGAATATCCATAGAAATCGAAAACTATAAATAAAAATCGAAACATTAAAACAACGAAAAGTTGGGAAATCGAAAAATTTTAAAATCGGAAAATTGAAAAATTAAGAAATTGAAAAAGCGATAAATTGAAAATTTTCACATTGAAAAAAAGAGAAATTATGAAGTAAGGATACTGAAAAACTGAAATAAAAAAAAAATAAAGAAAAAAAATCAAAATCGAAAATCCCTAAGTCGGAATGTCGAAAACTAGCAAAATGGGGAAATAGAAATTTAAAATTTCAAAAATTTAAAAATTGAAGAATAGAAAAACTGAAAAACCGTAAAATTGGAATATCAAAAAATTTAAAAATCGAAAAAACGAATAATGAAAAAATCTAAGAATTCTAAGAATAAAAAAACATCGAAAAATCGGGAAGTAGTAAAGCCAAAAAGTGGAAATATTCAACAATCCAAGTATATATTTATAGTCGAAAATTCGAGTTACCGAAAAATCGAAAAATCGAGAAAAATCGAAGAATTAAAAAATCTAGAAATCGATATATATCTTGAAAAATTTTAAATTAAAAGTAAAAAAATCGGAAACTTGAAAAGTCGAGAAATCGAAAAATCGGGGAATCTAAAATTGACAGATCTGAAAATCGAAACATCGGAAAGTCGAGAAATAAAAAAATCGATAAAATTGAAAAATCGAAAGATCGGGAAACTCAAAATTCGCAAAACCAGAAAAATGGAAATCGTAAAGCCAAAACACCGAAAAATTAAAAAATCCAGCCATTCCAAAGTTGAAAAATCGAGAAGACTCAAGATCCAAACAATCAAATTTAAAAAATCGAAAAATCGGAAAGTCTAAAAGTCTGAAAATCGAAACGTCAAAATTTCGCAAAATTGAAAAATCGAAAAATAGGATATCCCGAGAAATCGAAAACTATGATTAAAAATCGAAACATTAAAACAACGAAAAGTTGGGAAATCGAAAAATTTTAAAACCGGAAAATTGAAAAATTAAGAAATTGAAAAAGCGAAAAATTGAAAATTTTCACATAGAAAAAAAGAGAAATTATGAAATAAGAATACTGAAAAACTAAAATAAAAAAAAAATAAAAAAAAAATCAAAATCGAAAAATCCATAAGTCGGAAGGTTGAAAACTAGCAAAATGAGGAAATATAAAATTAAAATTTAAAAAATCTAAAAAATGAAGATATAGAAAAACTGAAAAACCGTATAACTGGAATATCAAAAAATTGAAAAATCGAAAAAACGAATAATTAAAAAATCTAAAAATTCTAAGAATAAAAAAAAAATAGAAAAATCGGGAAGTAGTAAAGCCAAAAAGTTGAAATATTCAAAAATCCAAGTATCTCATAGTCGAAAATTCGAGATACCGAAAAATCGAAAAATCGAGAAAAATCCAAGAATTGAAAAATCTAGAAATCGATACATATCTTGAAAAATTTCAAATTAAAAGTAAAAAAATCGGAAACTTGAAAAGTCGAGAAATCTAAAAGTCGAGAGATCTAAAAATGGAAACATCGGAAAATCGATAAATAAAAAAATCGATAAAATTGAAAAATCGAAAGATCGGGAAACTCAAAATTCGCAAAACCAGAAAAATGGAACTCATAAAGCCAAAACACCGAAAAATTAAAAAATCTAGCCATTCCAAAGTTGAAATGAAAAATCGAGAAGTCGAAAAATCAAAACAATCAAATTTAAAAAATCTAAAAATCGGAAAGTCTAAAAGTCTGAAAATCGAAACGTCAAAATTTCGCAAAAATTGAAAAATCGAAAAATAGAATATCCCCAGAAATCGAAAACTATAATTAAAAATCGAAACATTAAAACAACGAAAAGTTGGGAAATCGAAAAATTTTAAAATCGGAAAATTGAAAAATTAAGAAATTGAAAAAGCGAAAAATTGAAAATTTACACATAGAAAAAAAGAGAAATTATGAAATAAGAATACTGAAAAACTAAAATAAAAAAAAAATAAAAAAAAATCAAAATCGAAAAATCCCTAAGTCGGAAGGTCGAAACTTAGCAAAATGGGGAAATAGAAAATTAAAATTTTAAAAATTTAAAAATTGAAGAATAGAAAAACTGAAAAACTCTAAAACTGGAATATCGAAAAATTGAAAAATCGAGAAAACGTACAATTAAAAAATCTAAAAATTCTAAGAATAAAAAAAATCGAAAAATCTTAAATAGTAAAGCCAAAAAGTTAAAATATTCAAAAATCCAAGTATTCCATAGTCGAAAATTCGAAAAATTGAGAAAAATCCAAGAATTGAAAAATCTAGAAGTCGATATATATCTTGAAAAATTTAAAATTAAAAGTAAAAAAATCGGAAATTTGAAAAGTCGAGAAATCGAAAAATCGGGGAATCTAAAAATGGACAGATCTAAAAATCGAAACATCGGAAAGTCGAGAAATAAAAAAATCGATAAAATTGAAAAATCGATGATCGGGATACTCAAAATTCGCAAAACCAGAAAAATAGAAATCATAAAGCCAAAACATCGAAAAATTAAAAAATGTAGCCATTCCAAAGGTGAAAAATTGAGAAGTCGAAAAATCAAAACAATCAAATTTAAAAAATCGAAAAATCGGAAAGTCTAAAAGTCTGAAAATCGAAACGTCAAAATTTCACAAAATTGAAAAATCGAAAAATATAATATCAAGAGAATTCGAAAACTATAAATAAAAATCGAAACATTAAAACAACGAAAAGTTATGAAATCGTAAAATTTAAAAATCGGAAAATTGAAAAATTGAGAAATTGAAAAAGCAATAAATTGAAAATTTTCACATTGAAAAAAAGAGAAATTATGACATAAGAATACTGAAAAACTAAAATAAAAGAAATAAAGAAAAAAAAAATCAAAATCGATAAATCCCTAAGTCGGAAGGTCTAAAATTAGAAAAATGGGGAAATAGAAAATTAAAATTTAAAAAATCTAAAAATTGAAGAATAGAAAAACTGAAAAACCGTAAAACTGGAATATCAAAAAATTGAAAAATCGAAAAAACGAATAATTAAAAAATCTAAAAATTCTGAGAATAAAAAGAATCGAAAAATCGGGAAGTAGTAAAGCCAAAAAGTTAAAATATTCAAAAATCCAAGTATTCCATAGTCGAAAATTCGAAAAATTGAGAAAAATCCAAGAATTGAAAAATCTAGAAATCGATATATATCTTGAAATATTTAAAATTAAAAGTAAAAAAATCGGAAACTTGAAAAGTCGGGAAATCGAAAAATCGGAGAATCTAAAAATCGACAGATCTAAAAATCGAAACATCGGAAAGTCGAGAAATAAAAAAATCGATAAAACTGAAAAATCGATGATCGGTAAACTCAAAATTAGCAAAACCAGAAAAATGGAAATCATAAAGCGAAAACACCGAAAAATTAAAAAATCCACCAATTCCAAAGTTGAAAAATCGAGAAGTCGAAAGATCCAAACAATCAAATTTAAAAAATCGAAAAATCGGAAAGTCTAAAAGT